CTTTCTTTCGAGAGAGTGTCCATGCAGTCTGGACGCTCTCTTTCGAAAAAGCAGATTGCTTTTTTGATCCAGTTTTGAGGTGTGGATGCTCTCTTTTGAAAGAAGCTTGCAGTCTAGACATACCCTAATCAAAAACCTCAAAACCAATTTCGCTAAAAGATATCAACCATTATGAGCAAAAGTGAACCACAAATTACCCATGAATCTGTGTTATGTTTCCAGGTCCAAATAAGCCAACCATACGTTTTTAATTAAATACTAAGGCTGTCAAGTGATTAAAAAAATAATCGTGATTAATCACGCGATTAATCACACTGTAAAACAATAATAAGAATACTTTATCTCATTCTTTATAGTTTGTTTTTTACTCTTTCCTTCTACTGTTTCTCTTCTAAAGAGTGTTTATATTATGTATAAATGTTAGGTTAAGTAATTATTAGTTGTAAGTTGAGCCTTAATTGTTTCAATATTATGTTATAGATCCATTAATACTACATAGTAATACTAATAGAGATCAGCATCCAACCTGGTAGTGTAGACATAGCCTAACTTTAAAAACAGCAAGTAGTCATGTAGCATATCTCTCTCTCTCTCTCTCTCTCTCTCTCTCTCTATATATATATATATATGCCTCTAGTCCCTACTATATATTTATATAGTATTGTGAGACTTTGTGGATACGCAGCCCCCACCCTCTGGTCTGAGCCCCCATCTCCCTTCCAACTCTCTACCATGACTTCTGCATCCCCACCCACTGCTCTGAATCACTCCCATCCCGTGCCCTGAATCCTGCACTTTCTGCTCCATGTCCTGAGCCCCTCCTCAACCCCCAACCCTGACTTCTGCACCACCCAGACTTCCAGCTGCCTGCGCTGAAGGACCCAAGCAATGCTGGTAAATCATCATATGTGTGTGTGTGTGTGTGTGTGTGTGTGTCGATTGTTAAGGATGACAGCTTTACAGCTCAGTACTTTATTTTCTTCACCCACTCAGTCTCATGTGAGTGAGTTTACAAGCTGGCTTCATTATTATTAATTCTGTTTATTAAGCTATTAATTGTAGCAAGCACATTTGCAATAGCTCCCTGCATCACATCAAATGTTCTGTTTAGCTTATCTATTTAGGACTTCCTGCATGCTCAGATTGTAAGTATCTGTCATCCACCTGACCAGTGGGTTATACCTCTACAAGATGCAGCTTCTCCTGCATCAAATGCATAATGCAACCTCTTTGTAAGAAAAATTATTCTCTACGTTTATTTCCATTTACTTCTGACATTATTTGTTTCCTTGTCTTTAATAATCTATGTTTGTTTAAATATATTTTTTAATTACATTTTTGCAGATATAGGTGACGTGATAACATACAGATGGCTTATAGTTCTCCCCAAATCCCTCTTCCCTCACAACCTTCTTTCTGCTCCAGTTAGCTCACACCTGGATTAGATATATGTAACATATTGACCTCGATTCTCTCCCATTACATTTCTAACTTCTAATAAGGAAGAGTGCGCTTACATTGCACCTGTGGCTCAAAATAAGCTAGGGTATGTCTACACTACAAAGTTAATTCGAATTAACAGACGTTAGTTCGAATTAACTTTGATAGGCGCTACACTAGCGCTCCGCTAGTTCAAACTTAATTTGAACTAGCGGAGCGCTTAGTTCGAACTAGGTAAACCTCATTTCACGAGGACTAACGCCTAGTTCGAACTTACTAGTTCAAACTAAGGGCTGTGTAGCCCTTTAGTTCGAACTAGTGGGAGGCTAGCCCTTCCCAGCTTGCCCTGCTGGCCACTCTGTACCTCCAGTATCCCAAAATAGTGCTGCAGTGTGGATGTAGCGCAACTGTGAGGCTGTTGTTCTGGTTTAGTATTCCTAACAAAATTTTCATTGATAAATTTTTAGTGGTAAGATCCATTAAATTGCCTAAAGAAAGCCCTAAGGACTTGTATCTGTTGGGTACCTAGATACTATTTATCTGGTAACCAGCAACTTTTATTTTTATATTTTGGCACAAATAACACACTTCAAGATTGCTTTTTCCTTGATTTCACAGAGCAGATAAGATTATGTAGTTCTGTCAGATACAGATATGTCCAACGGATAAACTGAAATTGCTGATTATTTACTTATTCAGGACCCATTTTTGCTCTGAATTAAGTTGATAGTTAAACTCCAGGGCTAGGTCTACACTGCAGGCTTTTTGTGCAAGAACAGCCATTCTTGCACATTCTTGCACAGAAACTTGCAGAGTGTCTACACTGTTCTTGTGCAAGTAAATTTACAGTAAGGCGTCAGAACTGAGGGCTTTTTGTGCAAGAACTCTTGACACTCCATACGAGGAAGAAGCCTTCTTGTGCGAGCGTTCTTGCACAAGAGGGCAGTGTGGACACGCAGCCAAGAGTTTTTGCACAAGAACTGGCCTCCCAGGAAAAAATGCAGGTGGCAGCAGCAGCATGCTCAGCAGCTCCACAACACGGCTCTGCCCTACTGCACCGAGGAGCCCACATGTCCGCTCCAGAGGAACCCCGAGAGCCTGCACCCTCCTCCCAGCAGCTACTCCAGGGCTCCCAGTGGCCATATAGAGGCACAAATCAAGGTGCCCCTTGCTGGTCTGGGGCTGAGGTAGAGGCCCTCCTGGACCTTTGGGCACAGGAGAAAGCCCTGCACGACCCCTGTGCCTGTCGCCTCAACGCGGACATCTTCGGCCTCATGGCCCAGGTGCTCTCAGACCAGGGACATCCGGCTTGGACCCTTGAACAAGATTAAGGAGCTGTGCCTGGGCTATATCTGGGCCACTGAGGGCGAGGGGGCAGGAGCCATCCTCGGTGAGACAGCAGTCCCAGGGCCCTTGCCGGTGTTGGACACGGGACTGCACACCCTGATGGTCAGGACGCCTGACCTGGAGAAGGAGGGTGGCCTGACCACTGGCTCTGAGGATGAGGGAGAGGACCGTCCCATCACCCTCCACCTGGAGCCAGTGCCCAGTAGCCAGGACATCTCCCAGGCCTCAGCCGAAGCTGGCGCCAGATCCTCCAGCGAGTGTTGCTCTTCTCATTCACAAGGGCGGGGGAGCTGGGTTCCCAGGGGGGACGGGGAGGGAGCATCACTCAGGCAGTTTGAGCTGCTCACCGTGCAGCAGTACGCAGCACATGCAACCTCATGCAGCCTGTGTGGCATGTGGACGTGGCAGGCAGCTCCAGGGCATGCCTGAGACCCTGCTGCTCACACGTCCTGCACGGGGGTAGGGGGAGTGCTGGCTGGAAGCAGCCAAGCCCCCAAGGGCGCGGGCCAGACCCCACACCTCCCAAAGGGTGCCGCACACAGACAGCACACAGCCATGCCTGCCTGTGTGACATAGCACCTACTCCTGGGAAAAGCGCAGCGAGCCAGCCCCGTGAGCGTGGCCTCCACAGAGCCCCTCGGGATGCTCCCAGCCCCTAGGCTTCCCCTGAGGGAAGCCCCCTACTGCCGCCACACACTTCCATGGGCTACTTGTCTGAGAGTTGGGTGGAGGGAGAGCAGGGAAGTGGCCAGCCCAGGCCTCTGCCCATTGAGTCTTGCTGCAGGGACAGTACACTCCCCAGTCGCCCTAATGATTTATAGACCATTCTCATAACTTTGTGTAGGCGTTCCTTGTGATTTTTGGGTTGGCAATACTGCTCTTGGATTGATGAATTTAGAGAGATCTCTCCCTTCAGTTTCCCTTTCCATCCTCTTTTTTTGTCACAGGTCATCAGAGAATCATAGAGACAATGGAGAGTAAGGTGAGTCCGTGACTATGGTTAATGACTGGTCAGGGTGACTAACTATTATCAGCCAGTGGTCTGAATGAGCTATCTACTGCCATCTGTTAATCAACTGTAGGAAAAGGCTTCACGAGCAGACCTTATTTATATAGACAACCTACTTTGCCACAGAGATCAGTAGACACACTTGCTGTCTCAAGGTGATCAATTTTGGCTCTTTTGGGTTGAAATTCACTTAAGAGTTGGAGCTGGGAGAATGAAATGTTGTTATCCATATTGTATGATTAAAAGACCTGAACTTAATATGACTTGGCTTAGGGTCTACCAAAACTTAAACACTAAGCAGAGGATAGTGAGTCACATCTAACTGAAAATCACAGAACATGGAAACAGGTTTTATTTCTGGTGGTGTAGAGAGTCTATTTGAGAGTCCTCAATTATATCTGACACTTTACATCCAGTGTTTAAAGGCAAAGCTGACTAGAATCAATTGAGAGTCCTTGTCTTGTCTCAGTGATCGCTTGAGCAAAAACCATTGATAAAATCTTGTGTACACTGACCTTGGACTCAACATGCAGGCAATGTGTTGAAGGGCAGTGCAAAGGAGGCAATGGTGGTGAGGTACCATATTACCTAGTGAAATCATTGGAGCTGAAATCACTAAGGACTGGAATTTGACCACAGAACTGACACTTTCTTAACAAAGACTCCATTTTTGCTATTTAAAAAGTAAATC